GTAAAAAGTGTAGCAAAAGTGAGCACTCGGTTCTTATTGTACATTTGAATATGCTCTTTCTCGTGGTCTCTAAAAAAGGGTTTTACAGCAGATGGTGTGCTGGAGAACGATGTTTCAAACATTTCTCCCGGTTTTTAACAACGTGCCCAAGCAAAAAACGGAAAACGCGATCGACGTTTTGAATTTACAATTAGGTGGTGAAGAGTAATCATTTCTGGTCAAAGCAAAATAAACCCGACGGAAAAAGCTTTTGTTTTGATGAAGTTATAGGACTTTTACTGAAAGTAGCATCATAAAAGGTTATGCATCACCCTGTAGTTGAGACCGGAATGAACGGTGTCAGTGCGAGTGAACAGCAGTATGGGTCGGGTTGGGAATCTGATCGAGACTTGCTGAAGTTAAAGTATGTTAAGGTCTGCGCATGAGTTAAATTCGTAATTACAGCTTTCTACCAGAGAGATGTCGACATGAAAAAGAGAATGATCAATAAATGTATGTGCTAAAACTGAAGCTCTACGAAAACACATTTTGAACGCAGCTGCTTGCTTTCAGACAGCCTTTGTTCGCGATATTTTTGGCCGATAACTGGCATGAAGTTTTGTTTTATTCCAAGCTGGATATATCGGTCGTTGATTTGGTCTGATACTTGACCTTGTATTTGTACCAACATCTTTAAAACGATCTTGTATTTCCCAACTTTCTCCATGTGCTACCCTATCTAAACCAAGGGCTTGATCTTTCGGATCCAGTCTGATACCAATAGTAAAGTGAAGAATAAGCAAAATACCCGCTGTAACAACACTTACGAATCCAATTGTCGTCAGTATACCAGCTAGTTGTCGCCACATTTGAATTGGATGACCGTAGAAAGCACCATCAAAACCAGCAGGATTTACAGCTTGTTGACAAAATAAACCTATGGACTGTTTGTATAATATGTAAACATTAGTTGGCTTATTAAAATTTACAGTATCGATAAAATGTGATGAGTGTGTTTTTGAACGATCACAGTGCAAAATGCACCTACCATTCCTCCTACACCATGACAAGAAAATGTATCCAATGTATCATCAAAATGTAAAAATCGTTTTTTAATTTTTAAAACAAAATAAATAATTATGCTACCAATCACCCCCAACAGAAGTGCCCATCCGGGCTGGACAAAGCCGGCTGCTGGTGTAATTACCACCAGTCCAACGACCGCTGCCGAACAAGCGCCCGAAATTGATATTGTTCCCAATATAGCATCAATGACTACCCATGTTACCAGAGCGGATGCGGCTGCTACGTTAGTGTTGATTAGTGCTCGAGAACGTTTAAAAACTACATACCTGATGGAAGGACCAGTTTGAGCCGGTTAAATTCGGCGTGGCAGCATAATGCTAGCTCAAATTCATAAATGATAGTGTGGTAGTTGAATGACGTGAAGTGCTGCAAGACCATTAGCTGCTGATGCAGACCCAGCATGAGTTATTCACTTACGACGTTCCATGCGATGTTGATGTACAACTCCCTCTAATCAGCTGTTTCGATAGGTATCACATAACGTTAGTAGTTTTTGGATATTCAATCATTGAAGCCAATCCATCCGATCCATAAAAGACCGGTTCCTAATAGTGTAAATGGTAAATTATGAGCAACATCGTGCTTTGTCGGGTCATAATCAGTACGTTTTCCTAGTATTAATGAAGATACTAAACCTGCTACTCCACTCGATATATGAATTACAGTACCACCAGCAAAGTCTAGCGTTCCGTACTTATGTAACCACCCTTGATAACTGAACACCCATCTTGCTAGTGGATCATAACAAACGGTCGTCCACACGGAGATAAATATCAAATACGAAATCATTTTCATTCTTCCAACGATAGCACCACTGATTAATGCTGGAGTGATAACCGCAAAGGCTGCCTGAAAAGCTGCGTATGTCAGCAGAGGAAATGTCGGTGAATTATTTGGATCATCACGTTCACCATACAGATGGGATGGATCACCAGGAAACCTCAATGCACCAAATTTAAACGATCCGAATGCACTGTTGCCAGGACCGAACGCAAAACTAAATCCAAATAGGCACCATTGAGATGTTACAATTCCCATACAGATAAATGACAGAAATAATTGATTTAATATATTTTTTCGGTGAACCATCCCACCATAGAAGAAGGCTAATGCTGGTGTCATTAAAAAAACTAATGCTGTTGATGTCATCATCTAAATTAGGAAACAAACCATGTTGAAGAACTTCTTATGTGGAAACATTTAGGATACTAAGGGCGCCGAATCATTATCAAAGTCGCCCAGAGAAAAATTAATATGATTACTATGCTATTTTTCAATCAATCAGTACAGTCTATTGTCTATAAAGGCAATTCTTCTACAAAGTGTCAAATTCAACAGATAAAAATAAAATAAAACCAAAACACTAACCCATGCATTATCTCCAGAATCAAGTGTTGGATCAGCCAATGGATTGACTACTGCTGTTGTGGTGGTAACTTCAGCCATTTCAGTGATGCTGTCAATTACTTTTTACTTTATCTTGACACTTCACCGACTCTTTGCTTCGTCTTTCTTCTACAAAATATTTTAGTTTATCGGATTCATCTCAGATACGCCTGAATGAGACCAAAACCTTCAAAATGAAAAAAAAGGTATTTAGCCGTTCTTCAGTAGCTACTTGTTCTTTCGAGTAGGTTTGATAAAAACGGAACAGTATCAATGTAACTCACAAGCACCAGTACCGACATTCTATCATCATTGAAGCATGATCCAAAGACTGAACTCCTAAACCATGTTAATTCGTTAATAGTGCTATATCCGATGTATTTTCAGTTGTGCACTATTAGATATGCATTATAATAAATAAACATTTAGCACGTAATAACAAGCTGAAATATAATATATCAATGCGTTAAAATGTCTTCATATACAATATTTGAATACATCATAAAAATACATGAATAGAGCTCCGTACCCTATGTACGCAACGATCATGA